GTTGTGTTGACAATGCGCCGCCATCTAAAACAAAAAAACAGAAAAATAAAGTGGGTAAAGCAGACGCGCCGCTGACCGCAGCACACTTTTTTTTTCCATATTTTCATTTTGGTTTTTACTAATTTGCTTAATTAGCGCGACTTACACACATATATTTATATGCGAGGCCCCTCGGTGGGTTATTTTTTTTACACGATTTAATTGGGTCTATGTATTTATTTTTATTGTTTTTGTCTTCGGTAATTTCAGGGGGTATTCTTCTTGGCTTTTATTTTGTTTTATTCAGTTTTGGCCTTTCTTATTTCTCTCACGTTTTGGGCTCTGTACAAGTTTATGGCACAGCCTGAGAGCGCCGTCGTGAATGGATTGGATTGGAGCTCTTGAGCGCTGAAGCTCCATGTTTGTACTACAGTGAAACGAGGTACAGTGGAGCAATCCGGATCGGGGAGTGGGGGGTCTCACATTAATGCTGGAAACGTGATGTGCGGCTTTTTGTGTAACTCGCCGTGAGAACTTCGCGGCTCCGCAATCGCTCAGGTTTCGCTTCGTTTTAGATGACAGCAACGAATTGAAACGTTCAATCGGAGAGATCCAGCAACTGCACGTAGATCATCGATCCACGGATCGCTTTTCCGTTTTTCTTTTGTCTTTTGTCTTCTGTCTCAGCCCATTTGCATACTCACATACTCACATACTCCGATCGGCGTTAATCAGTCAATTGTGTGCGGCCTTCGGAGTGTGAAAATTGCTGCAATCACTGAACGCACGGCTGCTAGCGATATCGATGCAAGTACAACGCACATGATCATGATCCACATGGATGGCGATCTATCATCTGCGGGGCCGAGCCCTTGAATCTGGGGGCTTGGCCAATTGCCCGATCCGATGGGGTTTATACAGCTGTGCTATATACAAAAAAAATCATTGACTTACCATCATTAAATTGAACGTTTAAATCAGTGATTTATCTGTATCGATAAAGAAGTAAAAGCTTAAAGTACATTTTTCGTATACATTTGAAAGTTAAAGTTTCACCTTTTTTTTACTCTAAGAGATCGATTAATAAATCAACTTGTATTAACTTTTAGAATACTTGACAATGCACATCAAATCAGATTATTTCCATTTCACTTGTTAATGTGCTATAATTCAAATGAAGCGAATTAATAATATCTAAATTGTGTGACGAAATTTTCGATTCGTTTCAACCGCACTGATTAACAGAAATATAAGTTTTGATCTATTTTGGTTTTTCTTTTCCAGACATCATTAACTATAAAGTTTAAAACAATTTATTTTGATATGCTGCTCTAATTCTAATGCTGTAAATAGAAACCATTACAAATAAGTTTAGTGCATTTCAAATTGATAATGATTCTCATGATTTGTTTTAGAAATATGAAATGCCATCGAGAAGAAAATATTAAGTAGAACGCTAATTGATATTATATTTAGCAGAATTTTATTGCTTTAGCATTAATGTGTGGAAAAAGCTAAATGTAAATTTTACAAGCGATTGTGAAATGTGATAGAGAATGTTGTACGCAATGTTGTGCCCATTTCAAGTGATCCCCCTGCGAACAGTAATGATCGGAGTAGTAGCGCCAAATCAATTTCCATTTCTACTTAATGTGTGTGGCAGCCGCGATGTTTGTGACCTCAAAGTTGGTAAGCGGCACACAATCGCTCGCTTATGGATGTATCATCCGAGTGGAGTGGAAACCGCAAAGCTAATTGCTTATGCACAGCGCATAACCTTGCCACTCCATGACACTTCTTGCTTCGCTGAGTACAGAGTATGGAGTAGCCGAGTACCGAGTACCGAGTACTGAGACTTAAACCCCAGTTGAAACCCTTTCAAGCGTCCAAAACCGAAGAATCGGCAAGGGGTATAGAGTGGAGAAAGCTTTCATCATCATCATCATCATCATCATTTCTGTGCAGCAGCAACATTGAAAAGGAATGGCGGAGAATGGAATGGTTTGCAGTGGAAGTGGCAGTGGCAGCAGCAGCTTGGCTTAATTGAAAATTCACAGTAATGCCAGCGCTAGAAAACGACAGCTGCTCTGCGGATAAACAAGAGGAAAATATAGGAAAAAGGCAAAAACAGCAGAGAAAACACATTAAAATAATATAATTATTTTTTTTCTTGCCTAGACTTTTATACACCGACTTATCTTCGCCTCTCCTCTTTACACTTTTATTTTGCTCTCAAGCGATTTATTTCTTCGGCTTGAGATTTCCGCATGCTTTGTCAACCGTGAACGGGCACGAACTTTCATTTTAAAATTCTCGAAGCGTGTTGCGCACTCTCAAACGAACTCAGTCCGCCCCATTTTCCACTAGTAGTGTCAATTGCCGGGTAGGAGAACCCACCAAAAAAAAACCCCAGTGTCATCATGATCACCTCAGTCCCAACGAAACTAAATAAGATCTTTCATGCTTTTGCACTCGGCTTTCTTTGGAAACTTTCATGGCTGCCAGCTTGGCTTAATTCTAACAACGTGCCTTGCAAATGGAATAATAGCAAATCCAAATCCACAAAGAGCATCATGACGAGGCCGTAAAAGATTTCAGAATTGCATGCATGTAATTCGCTAATTAAGAGTCATAGAAAGTTTCAGGTTTAGAAGTGTTTTGCAGTCGACAAACCATAAGACACACTTTCGATTTCTAATTTTTGTTTTTAGCCAGGTGGTGACCGGCACCACCCATCATCATCATCATCATCAACATCCGAGCCAATTCAATCTCGAGTACTCGCCAGATGTGAAAGTTCCCAAGTTCCCCAAGGTGTCAAAACTGAGGCCATTCCATTTTTCACACCTTTTTCTTTTACTTTTTCCATAAGCCCTGGTTTTATGTGGAGATAATTTTCCGCATATATATTTACTATTTACCGACTGTTTTAGTCGTCATCTTTTCGCTTGTCTCGTGCCACTGAATCACTGAATTCGCTCATCGGGCACGTTGTTCATGCCAGATAAGCTCTTTCTTGTTTGTCATGTGCCGGGAAATTCAGTGGCATATTCATAAAGCTGAAATCCATGTGTCATGTGCCGCGATACAGTAATCACCAGCTTGAGCAGGGCTCACTCCGCTTAGCTGACGTCCATCAGGGCTTTATCTCGGTCAGGCTTCCCGAAAATAAGGAAAATAATATTTAAAATTATATGATGTGGTCATAGTTGTGGCATTGACCAACGCATGAATCAGCATTAATATGGAATTTTATTTCTAACGAATCAAAATCAGAAAATACTTGGGAAAGAAATAAATACATTTTTAACTGTTTCTTGTAAAAAATGTTTTTAGGTTTAGGCTTGCAAACAAAAAATCCATTTGCAAATTGAATGAAAAAATCATTTAAAATTCTTTTCATTCTTCTTTTTCATTCTTAATTTATCATAATAATTTAATATCATTTCCTTAGCTTAAAAGTCTTAACGTCAACGTCTTAATAAATTTCAATTTACATTCATCAGATGATTTCGTCCTTGTCCCAATGATTTATCGATGGCAATCCTTTTGTGTTGATTTTCCGCCATTACCATTATATCGATTTGCATTTACCAAATAGCTTCCCACCATCGGTTCAATCAGCTCCCAATCTATTTAGCTTGACTAGGTGCCCTTCACTTTTGAAAAAGGCTGGGGTGGATTCAATTCATTACTATATAGTATGTGGGTATTTGGGTGAAGGTTATCGGGTGTCCAACTCCTTTTTTTCATTTTTTACTTTTGACACGCTGCAGTCTTGAGTTGATTTTGGTCTGTGGATCTTGTCCTCTGCACCAACTTTTAGGCTGCAGGTTTTCCAGTTTTTCTTCTTTTTTTTTTTTTTTTGGGGCCCAGCCCATTTCTTGGTCGTGCTTCTTTAATGATGTGTTTTAATTTTGCTTTGTCGTTTCGCTTTTTTGCCTGCGATTGCGTAAGCAGCGAATGACGCCGCCGCCGCCTCTTACTTTCTTTTTCTTTTGGCCTGTGCCGGAGTTGTCTTAAAGTATGACTTAAAAAACGGCATAAATAAGACTCGATTTGAATCGAATGTGAAAAGGAACTCTGAAATGGCAGCAGCAGCATGCTGCTGAATGGGTTTTATTTTACTTATTTTATTTTGTTTTGTTTTCCCCATTTTGTTGTTTGTACAATTAAATCTTTAACTTTGTTGTGTTCCCTTGGGTGTTGGGAGCATTTGCATTAATTAACTGCAGTGAAGAAAAAGGCAAACAACTAAGTTTAAGAAAAAAACAAAAAAAACAAAAACAAAGCCAGCACAAAAAGGAAGAAACTTATAATTTATTTCTTTAGTAAATCTAATTAACATATAAGCGGATTTAAGCTTAGCAACTCACACCAACACGAGCGCCTACTCAAATCACTCTCCATTGCGAATAAGTTTTGCATTTGTTTTTGTTTTTTTTGTGTGAACTACGCAACGTGTTGAAAAACTCACGCGATCGCGTTTTCTAATGACACCGTATAAATAAATATACACATAGTCAAATACATATGGGGGCACACATTTATGCCCAGAAAGCGCGCACATTTATATGTATAAAAACTAAATAATAAATACAAAAGCTCAAAGCACATGCCATTGCCATCATCGCACTGTGGGAGATTATCGGATGAGAATTTATTACAAAATTGGTTCAGCCCATTCGGATTTGGTGGGATTATGTGGATTAAGGCTTTCGTCAAATCGAATGTTTGTATTTTTAGATTCAAATCTTGCCAGCTTATTTATGTGCAAGAATTATTTTGGTTTCGAAAATCTTTATATCTAATCCGGGTTTAATGAATCCCATTCCACTGTGCAGTTCTTGTGGAAAAATTCGTAGCCGATGAATGACACATACTCGCACCCAAAGCACGAGAAGTTTTCAATGGCTTTTTGGCCATTTCGCAAAGCAACGCAAAAGGGAATGGCCAAAAAAAAGAAGTTGAAAGTTCGCTTTGAAACTTAATTCCCTGTTTGTTTTATTTTTTTTCTCTAGAAGAAAGTTTTGGCTTAAACAAGAGTGAAAGATGGAAAAAAACGAACTGAATATAATTAAAATGTGTGCAAAATCAGTTAACAGCAGCGACAGAAGCAGCAATAACAAATGAGTGAATTATAGTGACAAAATAAAACAGAAAAGCCAAAAGTGACAGTGAATAATGTTGAGAGCGCCCACACAGCACATCGTGCAACTCGGTTTCGGAACGAAGACGTCGACGACAACGACAACATCGACAGCGGCAGCAACTGCAGCAGCAGCAGCAGCAACATCTAGCGGCAAGCAGCAACATCAGCGCAAGACGCTGTTGCAACGCTTCCGGCAGCAGCAACACAAGTTGCCCAAAGTCACAGCGGAGGAGACACATGATACAGAATATTATTTCAAGCAGCATCAGCAGCATCAGACTTCCTATCAGCAAGGCGACAATTGTTTGTTATTTCTGACAGCAGCAATAACCTCAAACTCCGAGCAATCGCTGAAGAAACCGAAAAAAAAGAAGGAGCCGTGCAGCTACAATTTCGCATCGGCTCTCAGGCGCAACAAGAAGCCAAAACCAGCGGCAACATCGACCGACGACGACGATAGTTGTCGCAGCATCAACAGCAACAGCAGCACAAGCGGCAGCAGCAACAGTTTGTCTAATAGTTGCATTAACAATCATAACAACACTCATTATAAAAACAGTAAAAACACCAGACACACAAGTAGTAGTAGTAGCACCAGCAACAACAACAACTACATTGGTAATTATAATTGCAAAACAAGTGAACAACAAGCGTGGAAAGCAGCAGCAACAGTAGCAACAGCAACAGCAGCAACACAACAGCAACAACTGCTCATTAGCAGGCCAAGTGATCGGCATTATCCCAGCAGCAACATCAGTAGCAGCAACATCAATAGCAGCAACATCAGTAGAAACAACAACAGTGGTGGCCATATCATCATGTCACCCACTTCGCAGGCGCCCACCCGAACCTCCCTATTCGATTCCTGTCATCGAAAGATCCGCCTAATCGGCGGCGGTCCAGTTGCCTTCTTGGGCGGATTGGTTGCGTAAGTTTTTGACCTGACATTTGATTTGAATTTATAATATTCTTAGCGAACAATAGAACTCTATAATTTGTGGTTCGGGGAGGGATTATATCATAGTCGGAGGAGAGCGGGGTTCCCCAATCCGGAATTTTTTTGACAGCCATTCCAATTTTTCGCCAGATTTAGGTAGCCAGTGTGGTTTCCAGTTAGACTACGTCAGTTGAGTCAATCATATTGTTCACTAAGTAATTAATTACCCAGTTTAAGAGAAATTCTTATAACACTTGGCCAACCGCTGCGATAAATTAGCATATTTTAAAAACCGGAATTTAAAATAAAGAGTTAAAGAGTTATTAGTGCTATTTTTATCCAGCAGAGAGTTACTTATTTAGGATTTCATTGTTTGAGCCTTTATTGACTAACACTTAATTATAATTATTTATTTTGTATCAATAATGATTTATGGGTAGCTCTGTGAATGCCCAATAGTATTTGGTGTATGGTAATTACTATTAATGTATTACCACCATCCATATTACGCTCGTTAGCATTCACTCCATTGCGATCAACTTTCTAAGGTCGAGTCATGGAGAATTGCACAAAGTTATAATTTGTCCGCATTAAGGAAATACTTAAAATACCCGTGTCAGAGGTCGAACAAAGGAAGCCGAATAGAAAAAAAAACTGAACAATAAAGAACGCTGAAAACAGAGCAAAGTTAGAGATAAATGCGGTATTTACTCATTTTTATGGCTTTAATTACGAGCATTTCTCAAGCGGCTTTTGTAGAGTTTTTTGTTTTGTGTTTGGTGACCACCAAAAGCACTCTGCGGTGTGTGCAAATTCAAGGTTCAAGCGGCAATTAAAATATCACAAGAGTGGAAGCAGCCAAGAAACAAACAGAAATAGAAACAGAAACAAAGGCGGCCAACAAAATTTATGCATATACTGGGCCTAAAGGTATCAAAAAATGCGCCCTGAAGGTCACCAGAATTAGGTGGTGACCCGAAACCAAGCTCTGTAAAAGGGGAACTGTAACTTAACAGACTGTTTCTGATGCTGCTTCCTTATTTACCCTGTGTCCAAAAATAACCAAAGCTTTATCTGCCTGTGTTCTGGCTTTATTTGAAAAGCAAAGTTAAACGAACTCTCAAATTACCGAGGTGATACAACCGCAAAGCGATGACACTCACTCTGCCACCGAGCTCACAGAGTGCGCTGAACTGATAATTAGTTAGGAAACCAAATATTGACACACATGAACATGCATAAATACTATAGCAATAGGAATACTATATAAAACGAGGGATAAGGTTCTGAGTAACAACTTATTCACTTGTTTGGGGGTCGTCTTTGTGCATGCACCTCACATCCAGACCCACACACTCCTCCCCAAAACAATGATTAACAGTATGCATATATACAAACTGAGTGAGTATAAGCTACAGAACCACATAACACAATAGTCATTTGTTAAGTAAGTTGGTGGAGAGAAAAGGGGAGTAGCGGTGTAAAGGGCGTATTATGAAAATGATAATGATAAACCTGTCAGGCCAACAGACCCACAGAGAGTGTCAATGGCACACTAAGTTACCAGGCCCCTGCTAAGAATTTACATAATAATGCTCAAAAGTTTTGATTCTCTCATTTGCTTTGGTTTTCTTCAAAAAAAGTTCCAAAATTTGAATAAAAAAATACCTATGTAAACAAATAAAAAATTAACAAAAATAAAACTGACAATAACTCAAGTCTTCATAAATGAGTAATATTGTCTTCGGTCGGACAAAGAACTCTTTGGAGCCAACTGTACTTTTAAAGTAATTGAACACAAAGAAGTAACCACAAAGAAGCTGGTTAGCACTTTAAAAACTTCCTGGTCGGCAAAAAAAGAAGCGATATGCTAATTATTATTGCATCTTTATAAATGAAATATAAGTGGTGTTGTTCATATATCTTTTGAATCTACAACTGTGAGAACTAGAATTAAATTTGCATATAATTCACACAATACCATAACACTTATTTTTTATTTTATTACAATTTAGAAGAAACACGAAAACCAATAGGGCTTTAGCAATATTACATTATATTAAAGTTCTTGACTAAATAAGCCAATAAGTTATTAATATGTTAACGATCAGATAATCCTTGCTTCTTATAACGCTTTGGTCACACTAAAATGAACTTAATTTGACCATTCATTCCCAAAGTTGTACAGAAAGCTTAAACAATCGTTTGCTTTTCTAGTAAGAGTTTCACTCAGTCATCTGCGAAGGAAGTGGCACCTCCTCCAACTATGTAGCTCCCCCTCCCACTGTTACAATGGGTCCACTTCGGTCCAGCAAAGTACATACACACATGTTACTTGCACTTTTTTTCTCATTTTCTTACTCCATGTCTGGGCATTATTAATCTTGGTAGCTACAACTTTTCCCCTGCCCTTTGGCCAGCTGCTCAGCATTGGCTCGTTGGGTTTTTCGCTCCACATGTTTGCCCCCAACTTTTGGGGGCTTATCATATGGTCGGGGAGCTCCGTTGCCTGTTACCGTTTCTGCTCCAGCTGGTCGCTAACGTTTTAATTTCCTGTCCCAATTTAATATGTTTTGTATGCCGGTGCGCCGGACTTTTATGGCTTGCCCATTTTGCTTTTGCTGATTTTGCGATTTACGAGGAATCTAGAGGGAGAGAGAGATTTGCAGATATAATTCTAAGTGGAGAAGCTTTCCATTCCATTCCGACTGCTAATCATCTGGGGCCTTAAGCCACCGCCTCGCAGCTGTCACAGCACCTTGGGCTTTGGTATTCAAACGAGAACAGGTGCTTCCAAGCGATCCCAAGCTTCTCTGTCGCCGCCGTTCATTGACACTCCACGCACTGGACCACTTAATGACTGACGGAATGACGAAATGACGGAATGACTAACTGACTCACTGACAAACTCACCAACTGACAAAGGGAACAGCTGGCGAGGAGACAAAGACAAAGGCAAAGACAAAGCGCCTCCGGATCAAGCTCGAATTAGTGCAGCCAGCAGGCGTATCAAGGTACTCAACTCGAGTTCATTACTAATGCCTGACGGCCAGCAAGTCAGCGATGGAGAACGGGCAATTAGCTCCCAGGGACCCCAAGAACTAGAACTTTTAAAAGGTTTTTTTTGTTTTCTAGCCTTTGGGTTGAGAAACCTTTAAACGAGCAATGACAAATGAATTGCATATTCCTTATCTTTTTGGAAACTCCCCGATTTCATAGAAACATATTTTTTATTTATTAAATAAATTTACATTCCAAGATAAATGACTATTTCAAGTGTGATTTCCAAAGAATATTAATAGGTTTGGAATGTAAATATTGCAGTGACTCTGGGATTTTTATTGCGGAGAAATATGCGTCACTGGAGTGTGACTTTAAGTAATTTTGAACTTAAACTTTAAGTTTCAATTTTAACTTTAGAGTCTGTTCATTTAATATTAGATCTCATACCAAAATATTAACAAAATGTTCTGTATATCTTGTTATAAAAGCTTAAAACTTTTACTTTTATATACAAGTAGTAGCTTTTTTGAGTATATAAATATTATTCATAACTTCCGCCCTTGTTGATTTCTCCAAAATTTTTCTAATGTTTATTTCGACAACTTCCAACTGTTTTTTGGTCGAGAACCCCAACTGTGTTCATGCGACTCCTTTGATCCGACCTAAAACAGTGAAGTAAACTTCTAAAAACCAACGGCACTTTGAAACAAATCAAGAGCTGATTCTTAATCTTGAGAGCAATTATTCGTTTGAGAAGAAAAACACAATTGCCATAAAACAAACTGGGTTCTTCTAATTTCGACCCCCAACCCCAGTTAGCCGACAATTGTGCAACGGTAGCCAGCGGATAACGTTAGATGCCCAGATGCTGGCTGTAATTATTTGCCCATTAGCTGGCGTATGGCAAATGTAGGAAATTTGGAACACGACTTTGGAGTCGAATGGGGGAGCAATGCCAAAGCATTAAAGGTCAACGGAAATTTCCATTTCCCAGAACCACTCGGTTTAAACTGATGCCAAAAGATGACAATGGGCGACTTGACAGCCTCGTGAACTTGTTTCCAACATAATTGCAGGTCGGCCCAGCGAAAAAAGTAAAAAAATAGGTTAAAAGCTAACTACAAATTCTACGGGTTTAAATAGGGTAACTGAAAAAATTTAGTGAAAATCTTCCTTTCATATGTATAAATTTGTAATAAATTGCTCATCCTTTCCAAATAAAATTATATAAAAAGTTATACAAAAATGTTGTTTTTTTTTAACTTAAATTTTTTCTACAAAGTTAAAAATCTACTTGAGTAAATAAAGATTTCTATTGCTCCATATTACATTTGAGCCTCATTAAATTCGACCTAAAAAAATAGAAACCAAACAAACCCCCGACCCCTTTAAAGTTCATTAAAATAAGACCATCATTTGTCACTTTTTATATTTTTATGAACTGTCTTTCGACTGTTTTTGCCTGAAGTAATTGCTACCGCATACAGGTAGCACATAAAACAGAGTTTTTATGGTTTTTCTACAGTGTATTTGTATTGTATTTTCAATTTCACCCGCATGCAAAACTGCAAAAAAACAGTGAAAAGAAGTGAGTAACGAAGACCATAAAAGTTTACCTTGACTTCGGACCAAGTTCCGGCTGTGGCTCATTTACGTGCCCAGCTTTTCTCCCTCTCGCTCGCTCTCTTGGCCGCTTTTTAATCCATTTAGCCACATGTGATTGCCCGTCATCATCCGCCATCCATCTACCTGTCCGGGTGTATAGAGTCTCTCTTTTAAATACTTTCCATTATTATTATTATTATTTTGTGTCTCTTGCTTTTGTCTTCATCAGCGAAACATTAATGTCAGTTGTCGTCACCCCCAGTGGGTCGAGGGGCTTTGAAGTGGGGAGGTGGGGAGGTGGAGGTGGGGTCTTGGCCAAGTGACTCACCCAATTCACATCGGACAGCTGCTGTCGTCAGCTGTGTGTGAGAGAGTCGCTCTTC